AACCCGACTTTTATGACTAATATAACCATATTATAAAGTGTCGTCAAAATTATATTATATTATTTTATTTTATAATTTCCTCTTATATTGTATTTTCAATTCAAATGCTTTTTATTCGTATAATTAGCCAACAATTGAGAAAATCTTTAGGAAATGAATGCAACCTATGATTCAAAACTGCATTTTCATATAAATTAGCTTTTAATTGATTTAATTATTATTTATAAACAAACAAATGAAAACTTATAAGTTATAACACTAAATAATATAAGTTTTAGTTTTTTATATTAAAGTAATTTATATGAAAATTTTATATACAATACAATAGACATAAGTACAGTACATGTCTTGAATAAGATATTTGATATTTATTGAATTAGTAATTGTTTTGAATTATAAATACAATTAGCGTTAGTTATTGTTTGCAAATTTATTTACATTATTAATTGAGTTTCTTATGCCGTCTTATATTTGAATTGTTTGTAAGGATTAGTTTTACTGGAGTTATAACTATGTTATAAATTATAATTTCATACATAAGTTGTATTCATACTATTCTGTTCACGAATATTGAGACCTTTTTATGATGTATTCATTTCATATAATTTCATATCAAATACAAATATCTTTGTTTAAATGTTCAACTTTTTCTTATTACTGGTGTTTAACTATAGTTTTATTGTCAACTATATTTCCTATTCAATATATATTTCGTGTTTGTGTTTATTAAATAGTTTAGAAATATTGATTCAGTTTTGTATCAGTAATATTTGCATACAACTTATTATATGAAATAAATATATGAATGATAACTTGTATCCTAAATGGTATGCACTTGAATTGGAGCCTAACCTTAATTGTGTTGTATTTGTGAACAACAATTAATTAATTAACAATTGAATTCCCAAATGGTCTCTACTTTTGCAGTTAACATACATTCTGTGAAAAAGTTTTCTCTAGAGTTGAGACCCATTTTTCACGACTTAATAAATTTCTTATGGCATACATCTCCTCATACGTATATACAGTATGTCTACAACTCTTGACTTGAAAATAACTTTAAGACGTGTTTATAATTAAGGTTTTCAAATAATGATTGAAATAATATAATCGATTTTACAAAACATGAAGTATTTCACGAAGTTTTCAAGAATTTTTCTTTTAATTCATGAGTTGTAGTGTTTAGTGAGGGGTTGTGTGAAAATAGCCCAATATATCGTATGATTTATTGATAGATAGCACAAAAATATTGCTCTTATGGGGTAATATATTATTTTGGGAGCCGTTTGTCTGTCATTAAAATATTTTTGACTAAATTCATAACATATTTGAAGTCTAATTCTATTAGGAATTCCTACCTCAGAGTCAATCTCTGCCATTAAAGTCATGTCATTATGATTCACAATAAAATCAAATGTTTTTACATTGTATTTCCATTTGAATGTTAGCAAAAAATCCCAAAAAGTTACTTTCAATGGTTTGTAATTTGAGGCAAATTTGGTTGGTTTATATGATTGGCAATGCCTTGTGTTTCTACCGATGCTGAACAGGTTTTGCACTCATATATAATGATTGATTGATAGTTTTCTGATTACTCTTTTCGCAAACCATTCATTGATTGGAATCTATTTTATGGCAAATTCTTAGCGTTTGTTATCATTTTTAAAAGTTTTATTTTTCGCTATTATTTTCATTTTGACGGATATTTTAATTATTGGCTGTCTTTTTATCCGCCGTTCAAATCAATGGTAATTATTCCGATCCCAGGGTTTTGTACTCAAAGTTTATTGAACCATAATTTTGCAACAATTTTGTGATTTATTTTAATTCATTTGATTTCCTTTTATTTTTAACTTACAATCAAACGCTCAAATCTTTTCCATTAATAATAGCTTTGTTTGCGAATAAATATATATTTTATCATTTCTATCACTTTTATAGCTATAGTAAGGGACACTACCTCTCGTACAACATGTGGACGGGAACTGTAGGTTTGGTCAACAATCAGCACAAGTACTTAACGGCTGAGACGTTTGGCCATAAGATTAATGCCAATGGAGTGGGACTTAAGAAGAAGCAACAGTGGACTATAGAGCCGTTCCCTATAAGCAGCAATGGTAACGATTACTCGAATGGCAATCGTTTGGACGATTTGGACGAATTGGAGAACATTGCTATCAAATCGCATCTCAACTGCTATTTGGCGGTCGACTCCTTCGGGAACGTCACCTGTGAGTCACCCGACAAGACCGAGGGATCCCGATTCACAATCACCATCTGCTCCATGTCCTCAACAGCACCCGGACAACCACAACAGGGTATTCATACTTTCACATACTTTCTCATACTATGCCATTCCCTGTATTCAACATTGCATTCAGTTTATCAAATATTTTTCATATTTTGGGCTAAACTTCAAAATAAGTTTTTGAACTCTCAATGCAATGAATTCAATGAAAACATGATTTTTTTGTTTCATTACTAAAACGCCTTTTTAAGCAATTTATTGCCACAAATGCAAGAATTTTCTCGGGAAGAGAGCTTTCGTTTTGTATAAACTAATTATGTATTCATTTTTGCGAAAAACAATCATTAATTTCTGAATTACAGGAAACCATTTGTGAGAATAAGTTGTTTTTCATACGCTTTTTGCCATTCATGCAAATGCTTTACCCATTCAAACGCATTATTCGTACACATCTTCGCTATTAATTGTTTTGATTGTTTTGAATAACTTTTTAACTATTTTTGAAACTGTATTCCTGTAATTAATATACAGTATTTTGTTTTATTTTTAATTAATCAAAATTTTTGCTCTAAATCTGCTAGTTAACTAATTTATAAATCTGTTAGTGCTATAAATTTTATCACTTTATTAAGTTATTTTAAGTATTTAAATAATTACATAATTCGTTTGATAGTCAATTTGTCAACAAAAAACATATTACAGGTTATATTAAACTATATTTTTTGACACTTACGATATAATAAATGATTAATTATAAATATATTTATAGATTATTATTCATGTATTAAAATATTATATACAGTATTATCTGCGAATAAAATCTGAAGTTTTATTCTTCAATGACTTAAATAATAAGAAAAAATGGTTTAATATTTAAGCGATTCTTAATCTCTATTCATATCAAATTCTATTCATGATATTTAATGTCCAATTAATCACTTTTAGTGTCATTTAAAAGCATTTAAATATTCAATTCACACAATTCTCTATTGAAATCCTAGAAACTATTTTCTAAATCCTTAAATTTGATTATAAAAAATAGCTTAAAATTCCACTTGTATATAAATGTATAGAAAAGCATATAAATGTATATAAATCACTTATTATTGTCAAACATTAAAGTGAATTCAAATTCCAATCATTTAATTATCTTATTATGGGTTTAGAGTTATCAATTAAATTGATTTATAAATACTTTAATTTTGTGGGCAGTGCCACAGGGTTATACTAAAGTGTGCGGGTTTAATATGATATAGTTTTCAAAGTTTTGATTGATCTCTAAAACATAGTTCTCATACATGCCTTAAGAATTGGTACATAATATGTATAAATTTATTGTACAGTACTGTATATGATAAGCAATAAATTTGTACAAAAATAAGACAATCTAATAAAACGTTTCAATTAATTTGACTGAAATTTGTTTTTGTGTATCGCATTATAGAGCAAATCTCGTGGGCCTTCCGGAACATCTCCCGGGGCTACTATTTGGGCACAACATCTGATGGTATGATTCAGTGCAACGCAAAGATGCCGCAGTCGAGGGCCGAGCTCTGGCACGTGCACCTCATCCCAGCCCGAGGCGCCACTATGTTTGCACTCAAGTCCATCGGCCGAAAACGGTTCGCCCGGACTATGCCTTCCCTTTCGGGTAATTATTCACTAATTATAAGCCATACAAATAATTGTCGTCTCAAACACACATTAATCACCAGAAAATCGTTACTTTTTCTGCTATTTAATGCTCAAAAACAAGTTTTCTTTCGTTTTTAATCAAAGATTTATTACTTTTTATTTGATAGGATGCTTAAGAATTAAGTTTTAATATCTTTTTATGAGTTTTTATTTTATATTTTGCAGACTTTAAGAGCAAAGGAAATCTTTTTTTGAGACAGAATTACTCAATAATCGCTCATATATTTTGACATCACTTTTATCAATTGGTTTCAATTATCATTTCCATATGTCATACAAATGATTGCTTTTATTCACAAACTTATTAAAAACTTTTAAACATTACTTCTTCGAGAGTCGAGTGAATACTAAACCAATTTGTGGTGACTTTAGGCCAAACGAACGGTGCGTCGAATGGGACGGACAGCAGTGAACAGATCCAAGTGGACGCCACCAACGCCTGGGGCTCTGAGACCCTCTTCCAGTTCAAGTACTTCGAAGGCGGCAAATATGCTTTACTCACCTCCAGTTCCAAACACCTCACCAATGAAGGCGTTTGCCTCGACCTCACCAAAGGCCCCACCGCTCCCTTGCCTCCCGTCGAGTGTCTCTTCACTATTGAATACCATTGCGGAAACATTGCCTTCAGAGACAACGCCGGACGCTATTTGGCGGCCGCCGGGAGGGCATCGCTGTTGAGGTCGCGATCCACTCACGTGACCAAAGATGAACAGTTCTCCTTTGAAACGGCGCCCATACAGCTCGCACTCAGAGCCACCTTCAACAACAAGTGGGTCTCCACTAAACAGGGTCTGTATATACAGTACTGTCCAACCATTGGGTCCGGCGTTTGACTTCTTGTGTCCCCAAATCAGGTGTGGATCTGTCGGCCAATCAGAACGAGTTGACAAAACCGGAGACCTTTCAGTTCGAGTACAACAACGCCGACCAGAGCTGGTATATCGCCACACATGAGGGCCACTACTGGGCACTGGGAGGCGCCTCCACCATACAGACCATCAAAGAGCTGAGCGCCAGAAGTAGTTTTAAGATGCGATGGAATGGTGAGGACGGCTCGTGTTCGCTGGCCGTCAGTCACCCCAAAGCCGGCGGCGACGACGCGCTTACCAAATGGATCGGCGCCCGAAAGTCGGGCCAACTCTTCACCTGTCAATCGGATTCTGCCGTCAAATTCTTCGTCAAGTTTCTCAACAGGACTTCCATTAACCTGAGGGCCAGTAATGCGTCCGGTTTTGTGGGACTCAAACTCGCCGGTAAGCCATCACTCGTCACATTCATTGATGACAACTATTTGAACTCAAATGTCATGTCTTTGTGTTTGTCTGTTGTCTGAAGGGTCGGGAAAACTGGAGAGCTCCAGGACCACTCCCGACAGCATACGCATTGAGTACGCCTACTCTGACAACAACGGACTCGACTTCTCGGACATCGACTCGACGTTCAACTGCTGTTACCTTAAGATGATGTCAAACAACCGATACCTGAGTCTCATAGAGAACAACAGTGTGGCGGCCGACGCCTCTTCAGCCGCGTGCGCCCAACAGTTCCAGATAGAGCTCAGGAGTGGCACTCAGATCGCTGTCAAGACATTTGAATCGAATTCCAATTATTTAAATCTCACTAAAAATGGTTCAATAGTTGTGTCCAATTGTCTGCCAGAGTCGGCCACTCTCTGGGAGTTCTAAAAGACATGTATTACTAGAAGTGGTCTTTTGTTGGACACAAATCTCATATCAATTCTCTTCTCTCTGTCTCTCCTATTGTTGTCATTTGTATTGAACTCTAATACTTGAAAACCACTCGTTATAGTGAACATAGATTTAGACACATATATAGTGTACTACTAATGAGCACTAAATAGCAATATAGGGGACAATGTGTCCCCGAATACTGTATATTAACTCCGAATTCACTCAAACGAGAGTCTCGTAAACCAAAAAATATGACAAATCTTTCCCAAACTTGTAATCAAATCTCGTTTTCAATCAACAATTTGTACTCTTTTTTGTACTTATATTTTGTCAAAACTTTATATTAACTGTGAAATGATTTCTGATATAATTATTTCGCAAATCTTTTTTACATAATATAATAATTTTTATAATTTTTTATATAAATTTAATTTAAAGTAAATGTAATTTAATTATTATTTGAATTTTAAATAATGTTTTCAAAGCATTGAATGATTGCAAAGAATTTATGATTGAATAAAACAAATGGATTATTGGATACCAATTGTATGCTCATTACGACAACACCCCCACCACTGCCCCCAACCC